CATAAAATGCCCTTATTTGTACTATTAATAACTTCATAAGTTTGTATCCCAGAAAATCTTGGACCACAGTAACCTTTCGTACCTATTATTAGGTATTACCTAACAATAATGATAACATTCCGACACTCAGGTTCTAAAACATTGTAATACTCTAAATACTTTATAATCCACCACATTCATATATTACACATCCTGATCAATAACATTAACACGTTACCTATCACCTCAATTAAATTAAAAAACCAAACCAACACGAAACATAGGTACAAAACAGTCAAGCAAAACTTGAGTATAAAACAAGCAACTTCTTCTTCTTATCACAAACTTTTCTCTCAATAAACCTTTCACCATTAAAACTCCATTCCTAAATGGACGAACAAACACATCTGACTTCTATTGTTGATCTTTCAACAAAACTTTCTGAATGGGCAATTCGGGTAATGCTACTCGAATGCTCAAACGAAAGAGTGTCCCCCCGAACAAAGCGATTCATATTTGTGGATAAAAATGTTTGATTTACTATGTTTTCAAATTCATAATACTTCTACTTTCAAATTCAGATTCGTTCATGTTTTCCACTTGGGAACACCAGGTGGGGGTTACTAATTCATAAGCCCACAAAATATCATATCATATTTTTTTCATGCAGGGAACAAAGGTGCAGGCTTGCTCATTTGAGCCCGATATCGCCAAGTTAGATGAATGTCTGACTTTATTTCACACGTATGATATCTACAGAAATTATCTCAAACCTTTCACCACTAGCCTTCCAAGATACAATTCAGAAGTTCAGCTAATCCTCAACCAGAAGTCAAGTATAAGCTCTGTTATTGATCAACCGTTCAACATTCTGATTGGAAAACCCTTATTTGTCAAGCTATCAGGTCTACAACCATTTCTCCAATCAAAAGCTTCAATTGGTAATTTCTTTAACACACAACGATTAATCATATCTAACCATTCTTACTTTTATGTGGTCGGCCACATTTCCGAATGAAACCTTACCTAACGTTCATATTATGGCGTACAAACTCCTCTTCAAACTAAACATAATTTTTACTTTACAAAGACGTCATAGGTATAGCAATGGATGTCGGTCCCATCAAAACAAGAGGAACAGATAAACTCGAAGAGATCACAATCATTACGGAGGAGTATTTACAATATTTCAGTGAACCTTTTTCTTTTCCAAATCTTTACTTAATACTAAAATATTAAAATTTTTGTTGTCTTTAGGAAAATTCCAACATCATTAACGATTTGAAATGATCTTGTTGAGGCAGAGGGATCAGAAATCGTCTCACTTCTTGCTGAAAGACCAATTATAGCAGTGCTAAATATCAAAGCTTCATCTTTCAAAGGTTGACCCTCATTACAATATACTTACCGACTACATTTTTTTTTAAAAAAAAGAAAAAATTATAATCTATGTAAATAAAGCCTAAAAACCTATATTCCAAAGTTATTTTAGTCCTACTGATTAATAATACAATTCACAATATTTTACATACATTATACGAGAATAAGCCACTTTTCTTGTTATATAAACTATTTCCCGGGTATAAACGGTTACAAATTAGTTTCTGTTTCAACTTAGGAATCTCTCTGTCAGCCATGTCGATGGCCAACATTCTATTCAATCCTCCTTACCCCGAAAGTATACAACTTGAGGAATGGTAAAATACCAAAAAACTTGAACCATAAAAAAAAGGTAAGGCACCAACTTAAATTAACAACTTATGTACAGGACGTTAGACGAGAAAAAATATGTTGATGAGCTCGTCCAAATGAAACAATCTGAAACACCTGGTCACCACCATTCCACAGACATCTTGCCGTTAATTACAGTCCAAGAAATACGTCAGTCACAGGTTCTTTCACCGACCTATTTCTGCCAAATTATATCTACTACTACTGTAAACTTATTAACTTGTAATAAATACACATACAGTTAGTGGATCATAAAACACGAACTTCATTTCAAATCTTACTGTCAACAAATATGAAATTCCCATACACTGCCTGTGCGAAATGCCATACGTCAACAAAAACACCTACAGCACGAACATTCTATTGCTTCAAGTGCTCCTGCATTCAGACAAGCAAACAAAGGTACGTACATGTTTTATAAACCTTTTACTTAGAAGATATAACTAAAAACATCCGAATTTACCTTCCAGATACATGTTAACAGCAACGGTTACCGACGACACCGCTTCCATAAAATGCGTTGGGTACGAGAAAGTTGTGAGTATGCTTATCGGCTGCGAACGGGACCTCTGAAAGGAAAAAAAGAAGATGTTATAACAAAAAATTACTATTTTAATGTTTACAACAATTCTCTGTAACACTGTTTTTTATACAGGGGATGGCAAGGCTTTGCGAAATGCGAAACAACGAAGTGAAGTGGAGCAAATTCATGTTCACAATCAAGAAAAAAACATCTGCGTCCACAAGATTTAACACAGACAGCTATACAATCAGCAATATAGAACCATGGATCTCAGGTTACAACAAAAACAAACCATGAATTTTAAAGCATCTAATAAATCATATTTCCATACGAAAATTTTTTTACTACTCCTAGTTCTCGGGAACAGATATAGAAGATCTGACAAACGATTCACCCAATACACCCTCTCCAAACACTCCCCAATCTTCAACCCTCACTCCATCATTATCACAGATTACAACTTCATCGTCAACATTTACTGTAGAAAATTCAAGTAAGAAATGCTTCAGAAAGTACAAAAGTGGACTTCATAATCTATGCTATCGTTAGATATTAACATTTGCTTCTCTATTATAACTGGAATCCGCAAAAATCTCTGGCCATTAATACCAGTTCCGGAAACTGAGACAACCCAGAAAAAACAAGGTAAAGAAGCACAACCGGTCACGTCTGCAAAGAAGAAGAAATTGGAGACAAACAAGTGAACATTTAGCCGCCACAATTATTCACTATGAAAATGGCTTTGGTCTGTAATTACTAAGTTAATTCCGTCTTTAAGCAACCTCAATAGAGGAAACTGCTTTGGTTTGGTTGCCACTCATTTCTACAGGCCATTCATGACCTATTTCCGTCTGTGTATGATTGTTAAAAACTTTATCTCGTCAACATCCTTTCCCGGAATACTTATATTAATATATTTTAACAAGCCTATTACAAAATATTTGTGCGTATTTGCCTTTATCATATATATACAGGTCACCGAAGTTGCGTCTTTCTCATATACAATTTCGGCAAAAACAGTACCAACGGAAACACCGGTGAACAGTGGAGAGGGGAAGGAGGCCGTAATGTGGGTCTCCTCTACATCCTCCACATCTTCCACCCGTCCAAATGTTATTCCGGTTAAACCTACTTTATTCTAACTTTGTGAAGAGTAGATGCCTCTGCTTCTTGCCCGACCATATAAACAGACGCCCTGCCTGTCAGCCGACCGTTTATGGGCCTTTGACAAAAAAGGGGAAGACCTCAATTAAGCCTCTACTCGATTTCTCAAGCCTTCTATAGAAACACCAGCTGACATTCCAACTGCAGAGGAGGGCCCGGTCAGCACAACAACGGCGAAATTCACTTACTGCCTTCCGGAACCTTCTTTTGTAAATGTTGAAAAAACTTTGTAAATATTTTTTTATATATTCATATTTTGAAGAGTTCGCAAAAAAATTTCAAAGTAAATTTAAAAGACCGTGTAAAATAACATTTAACATTATGAAGAAGAACGTGAAAAAATAAATTTCCTCGGACATATTTTGTCGGATGGAAGGAGCATAAACAGGGACCCTCCCAAAAAAAACCAAAAAATGGGCAACTTCATCGGAATAAATGAGGAAAGACATACAGTCGGTCACCAGGACGATGATCCAACCTATTCCTCCAAATATAATATACTATCAAGGATAAAATGTTAATGTTATATTCATAACAAACACACGAAATAATTTTAAATTTAAACAGTTAACAAATCAATTATATTGTTCTTAAATATTAATTATTATATTATTCGTTTCTTGATTTTTTTGGAGGGGGATTTTATTAAAAAAAAAATTATGTAAATAATTATATATATATTGATATAATAGAAACTTAAAAATAAAAAAAACTATTTAAATTATATGAATATGAACCAATAAAAAAAAAAATTTACGAAAGAGAATAAGAGGATAGGCCGTTCAGTCGGGTGGTGGGTCGGCTGGCCGGTCCGCTGGTCGGTCAGGTCATGGGTCGGGTGGTCGGTCATTCCGCTGGTAGGTCGGCAGGTCAGTGTGCTGGTAGGTCGGCTAGTGGATTGGCTTGTTGCTCATAAGTTCGGACAAGAGACTCTAGGAACAAGAGACACTAGGGCCTTCGACAGGAAAAGTCCGCCTCTTCTTAAGAACGGGCACACGAGGTGGTGAGCCTAAGGCAAGGGGTGGAACGAGAATAAGTTTCCCCAACAGCTGGAGGGCCACCACAGCCCACGTGGCTGAAGGATTGGAATTACAAACAAAATGCAGAAAGAGACCACAATTGGTTCGGGGTGTTGGACTTTGGAGGGGCGTTGGACGGGCTCGGTTCAACCAATAGAGAATAACAGTCAGGTAGGTACTCGGGTGGGATAAAAGATGCGAGAAACAAATATAACAAACTATATAAAGATATATTTTAAAAAACTGTACAACCGAAAATTTTTTCAAAAAAATATATATATAAAATAAAAGTATACCGATATAACAACTACTTCCTTTAAAAAAATCATACAAACAAACAATTGGTGTGGCTTAACACGCTTTTACGAGTACTAGTATATATATATATGAACAAACAGTTAAGTAAAGTTAAGTGATAAAAAAATTATCATTTTATTCATTTATAAAAATTTTGAAATATAATTTAAAATTTTGAAATATAAAATTTTTTTGCATAGTATTTAATTTTTTAAGGTAATTAATTCTTGATAGAAGTAATAAATTTTGATATATACTCTATATCACTATTAACCCAAATTAAACACTACCCTACCCATTAAACCCAAATCCAACCCGCACGGCCCTTTTCTCTCTTCACCCGCGACCACCAGCCTCCTCCACCTTCGATTCGACAGCCACCACAGCCACCGCGACACTCCGTCGTCTAACTATAAGCCGCCGGCGTCGTCCTTCGTCCGGAGACCCAGAAGCCGCCGCGTACCACCACCATCTCCCAGTCGACGCGCGCCTCCGACAACCACAGCCCGAATCGACGCCGCGATCCGCCGCCTCTCCTCCCCTGCGACCTACGGCGTCGAGCCCCCCTCCCCCTCAGCCGTCCAGTGTTCCTCTTTTAACCGCCGTCCGTCCGTCGCTCTGCCGATTAAATCGCCGACAGCCGACTTCGACGTAAAACAACCTCGCCGACGACGCCAGCTCCAGCCGCCGATCCTCACACCAGCCCATCACCCTTCCATTGGGTAATAATTCTCTCATCCCTCGATTCTAATACTTTCAATCTTTGGGATAATTTGTTGAGCTATTGATATTCTGGAATTGTGTTTTGGTTTTCTTTTTGGTGCTGTGACTCTTTGATTACTAGTTGATCGTGGATTGTTAGTAGTTTGATTTGTTTGATTCTCCTTCAATTTTGAGATATTTTGATTTGGATTAGCACTATTGATGTTCTCGAATTGCAAATTGAACTCGGGCAGGTGAGGGTGCTGCTCATAGATTTATCCAAACATCATAATGTTTACTGGACTTCATTTTGTTGTCATTTGCGGTAGTCCTAGAACTTTTTACTTATCTTCCACGTGTATATTAATATTTTGATTCAAATAATTACAAGTTATATTATTTCCATAATTGTCAATACCGTGCTATAGTGCCGCTATATAGCGATAGCATAGAGGAGAGGCACTCTTCCGCTACGGTCGCTCCACAGTTCCGCGTTTACACAATAGCGGCGTGGTGGGATGCAGCGGCACTCCGCTACACTACGCTACACCGTTGTTATAGCTCATTGGGTTATTTTTTAACACATAAATAATTGAAATTTAACTTTAACTTATAAAATGTACTTTTTTCATTATAATATTGGCAAAAAGAAATTAAAATTGATCTTAAATCTTAACTAAAATTTTAAATTCATTCCAAGAAAAGAAACAAACTAAAAAGCCAAAAGTTGCAAGATTTGATTTATATCAAATATAACCAAAACTTGTTAGACCGTTATAATAACAATGATGTGATTGGTCCTATTGTTTTGAACGATATTGATGATTCCAATGAGTGGTTAATTAAAGAAGTTGACAATTGCATGAGGATGAGTTAGTCTTTGACAATGATAATTTGACTAGGGGAGTTGTTGATGCTATTGGAGCTAACAGGCCTGTATTTTACACTAGGATGCAAACATCAATAAAAGAAAGCTATAGGTACTTCTAGCTATAAAAAGCGAAATGATATTATGTAAGGTGGCAAACATATAATAGAACAAATTGATGAGAATGAATGGCAAAAATGTGGAACAAATTGATGAGAATGAATGGCAAAAATGTGGAAGAAAATTCTTTTATCAGATTTTGAATCTGATTAGCTTTGATATGTATATCTATCACACTATAGTGATTTAATTGTTTTTGCTTATATAACTATCTAACAGTTATAATCATATATATATTTTTTTTGACATTTTATTGGTTTGAATGATAATTATAAGATTGATTTATAGATTTTTCTATGTATTTTTATTGTAATTTTGTATATATGATAATTTTTTATATATTCTTAAATATTTATATAGCGGTCATACCGCTATCCGTTAATCCGCTATAGCATTTTAGATGTTGACCGCTACACACAGCTATCCGTGATTGTCAACTATGATTATTTCCTAGACAAAGTCTCAAAGATGGCTTCATTCAGACAAAATGTATAAAATTAGAGCAAATCCAATAAGCAAACCAATTCCAACTAAAGAAATAGATAACCCACTAATCCATAAAAGATACAAAAATTAAACTAATGATTTGAATCAAACTATTAATATAGACATGGAAGATCAAGTAAAAAGTTCTAGGACTATCTCAAATGACAACAAAAAGAAGTCTACAACATTATGATGTTTGGAGTTTTTTGTTTTCAATAAAATTCTTGTGTGATGGTTTTTATTTATTGCTCTTATTTACATTTATATTTTATGCATAGATGATGATTAATATTGCACAAGGACTAAAATCGTGAAGGATATAGTGGTATTTTTGGAGTTTTAGTTTTTGGTTTTAAATAGTGGTTTGGATGTCATGTTTTGTGACATGAAATAGTGAATTTTTATTGGGAACTGCTACAGTTGCATAGTAAAAAAATATGAAACCAAAGTTCAAAAGAACACACATGTTTTGGATTTTAGTGAAAAATGATTGGAAAGGAAAGGGAGAGTTTTTGACAATAATATGATTACTTAACTTTAATTTGAAAATATTGTTGTGCACTTAAATGTTGATTAATTAATATATACTCCCATCGTCCCGAAAGAATAGGCGGATTTGTTTTGGGTAAGAGATTTAGAGAATATTGATAGTTGGTAGAAAGTATGGGACGGAGGGAGTGTTATGTTTATATTGAAATATTGGTTGTCTGAAAATTAAAATTTCAATATTACTTTTTATACGACTAAAAATTATGTGGGTTGGCCTGCTACCTCCCGTGGTTTGTTTGTACCAACTAAATTTTAGCCCGCCCACTCAAACCTACCGATTGGTGGGTTGTGGGTTATAGCTCGCGTGACCAGCCTGATCTGGCATTTCTGCATAGTAGGTTGAAGGTATAATGATTGTTTTCAAATTTTTAGTTTTACCAGAATTTGGTGATGAATGAGTAGTGTAAGTGGTAAAATAAACTTAAAGTGAATGAGGGAGTGTGTCACTGGCTCAGTGCCGTCTACTGAAAGCTGTTTAAATACTGCAAAATGCCAACAGAAGCGCTAGATGACATCCCAGCATAGCAATGCCACTATAAGTGGCGTTGACTTAGAGTTCCTGTACCATAACTCTGGGACTAAAACATGACGGAGTCCTCAATGGCTGTTCAATAGTTCCAGATAAAAATTGTTTTTGCCATTTTCCAGAAGATTTTCCTGGGTAAAAAATTGGGATGTTTGCTTGTGAGTCAAAATGTTTAAAATTGCAGATTCATGGTGAATCTGTTAATCCATAGTGCCGTTCTTTCCTCTTTTGAATTTCATGTAAATCTTGTAGTGTTGTTTTATAATTTTCTTGTCTATTTATCTTTGGCTGTTGTGGTACTCTTTGTTTCCACATAGATATGCTCAAGTTCATACGGAACTTGAAACTTTTTATAGAATAAAAGAGGACGCGCTGATATATTTTGGATATGCATAATCTTTGTTCCCTACTGGATCTTCATATGTGAATCAATTATTTTTATTATTTTTCAAAGAAGACTAAATTACTTTTTTATTCGTGAATCAGTGACAGATAGCAATGGCGGATTTCACAACATCAACTCATAAAGCAAAGTGGATATTTACTCCTCATGATCTTGTAATGATTCTTTTGTACAAAAGCATTTCCAAATTTTGGTTTTCATGCTCGTTGTCTCTCTAACCTTGATGGATCTTGATATCTTGTGGTAATTTGCAGAAAGAGAAATATAAGGAAGCTAATAAAAGAGCCAAGCAAGCACTTGAGAGGGTAAGGTTTATGGTCTTGTGGCTCACGAATATTCTGGTTGATTCAATCAATGCTAGATCTTGGAGTTTGCTTTATCGTTGGGAAATAAGTGTATTAATTTGTTCCGCAAATCTGAGTTCTTGTGTTGGTCAAATATCTATATTAAATTTTAGAACATAGAGATTTACTGTGGTACATGGTTGTAACGAATGCTGATAAAATCCTATTTGAGTGATAGTTTGAACAAATATGGTCGTCCCCTACTGGGAAACTGTAGGGATATCCCTGCACTTTGCATTGCCCTTCAGAAATAGTTATTTTCGCCTAAATACTCAATCCTAGCTCCTTCGAAGATTTTATTTGTGTGTGTTTTCACTTTTCTAGCTGATTAACCAATTAACCGCCAAATTCTGTCCATTGTCATTTCGAATTCCTAGTTATGATGGGTTGTTTCCTTACTTACGAGGTTAAATGGAAAAACCGTAATAATATTCCTGTCACTTTAAATGCACTACCTACACATGCATATACCAGTCTTGATTATGGCCTCTTGAAATTGAATTGCCACATAACCTAACATTGCACTATAAGTTCCTTGGCAACACTAGATTGGTTGTGTACAAATACCTTTTTAATGCACTTATTGATGGTATTGAAATGATCAGAATGAAGAGTCTTAGTGATCTGGAAACAAGTTCACAGGATTGGGACATGCCTATATTAAATTTTTTCTCTTATGCAAATCTGCTTAGTTACCTGCTGACCAATTTGAGTTAATTTCAGCTGACATTACTGTGATACTGATGGTTTTTATACTATTTTCGGCATCAATGTGAATTACAAATGATGTTGAAACTGTACCATTTTGTGAAAGTATGGAGCAACAAGGATGGAAGTAGATATAGATGGTTCCTTCACTTATATTGAACCGCAAAATGACATGAAAGATGTAGGTAAGCTCTTCCTCTTTATAGTATACATGTCAATATTTCTTGATGTATGGTGCAAGGGAATATAGTCATTTTATTATGCTTTGCTCGTGTTTTAGCAGATAAGCATTCACGCCCCAAAGCACTCAAGACTGAAGAGGAGCAACTTTTGCGGGCTTTCTATGAGTTCAAGATTCAGGATGTTTGTGATGCCTTCAAGTTCCCACGCAAGATTCAGGTTGTAAAATTTGGTCAATAATTGTAAACAGCTTTTCCAGATGACTGACTTATCCTTTTTTTATTGTTCTGCAGGCAACTGCTCTTATATACTTTAAAAGGTTTTATTTGCAATGGTCTGTGATGGAACATCATCCAAAGAATATCATGTATGGCTTCTTCTTGCTTCTTCTTTATTGGATAATTGTTTTGAAAATCAATAAAAGAAATTGAAGAATAGAAAGCTTGATATATGCTGGCGGCCAATTTCGTCTTTGATGGTTCTGACTTGCAGCATATGATGAGAAATGCTTAACATAGGAACTTTCATTACTCACGGCCACAACTCAAACTTATTCCCCTTGCAGGTTAACATGCATATATGCTGCTTGTAAGGCAGAGGAAAACCATGTCTCAGCAGAGGAGCTTGGAAAAGGAATTGAGCAGGATCATTCGATGATCCTCAATAATGAAATGCTAGTTCTTCAGGTGTGAGTATAGTGCATAATTTTTGTCCCTATCTGACACTTTTTAAGTACTACAATATTATTTCTGTTATTTCAGTCTCTTGGATTTGACCTTATTGTGTATGCACCATATCGGGCACTTGAAGGCTTTACAATTGATGTGGAGGTTGTTTTCTAACTTACCTGTTTGCGGCTAATTATTAATTGTTCTTGTTCCTGCTATTATTTCCTAAGTTGCAGTTTACTTCTGTCAGTTGGTGCCATTTTCACTACATACAGTCTTCATTACATGTGTTGTTTTTCTTCACCTTTCAGGAATTCTATGATGGAAAAATGGGGCAGTCTGAAATAATAAAGGTACTAATTCATCTCTTCTTTGTGCTGTTTATACATATTTATTTGCTCCTTCCTGAATTATTAGCTTCTGGTATTTAAATTATATCCAGGAAACTAAATCAATTGCATAAGTATCAAGTATTCTCTTATTGGTCCCCCATTGCATGATTTAGTTCATTTATTATTTTATTTTAATTTTATGCCATTGTTCTGGTATTTTTTGTGTCCCTAATATCCTTTTGTAAATGAAAATGAAGTCTACTGCCGTAATTCAAAAGAATAAATCCTTATTACCTTTATATTTGTAACTTGTGAATGAATACTATTAAAAATCAATCCTGTTATTTACCAGTGTAGAATTTGGCTCCAAATATGGTTAGCATTTGCAATGGTGGCAATTAGTTAGATTATGACAATAGAGACATTGATTTTTAATTATTTATTTAACATACATCGGTGATGATTGTGATCCTAATCCACGTAGTCAAGGATGAAGGCTCCTCTTCTATGGTCTTAAGCTGTTTGGGTATCTAATCATTTCCTCTCTTTAAATATGTTCCGTTTTGAGGCAGAATTTACAGGAATCTGCAAAAGCTGAAGTTGATAAAATTATGCGAACAGATGCTCCCCTACTATTTCCCCCTGGGCAGGTACTATCCGAAGTTGAGGTTGCGTTACATATGTAATCTATTTTACATGTTACAATATTGTTTTGATACATTTACCAACTAAATCAACCTTGTATATTGATAATCCTTTCTGGATTGATGCGTTTGATTTATCTGTTACTTGTGCAGTTGGCATTGGCAGCTTTACGCAGATCATGCCAGCTTCACAAAGCTATTGACTTCGACAGGTCCAATAGCCACCAAAACACCCCTAAAACGATGAACATACATACATATATATTTAATATTCTTGTAAATAAATTTGAATTGGACCGTCCGTGTGCAGATACCTTAAAAACATGCTGTCCACACAACATTCTGGTCATGGCAGCTCGGAACTGAGTGTTGCCTTGAATGCAATTGATGTGCTGGTATGGTTTATCTCTATCTAATATTTGAGTTATTAACTAATAATTAATTTAATGCTTTGGTTTCCAGTCAAGTTAGAATGGTGTTGATTCGACCCTGTCAGCAAATATTTGATAGGACACAGTACTGTGCTATGCTCTATATATTTACATGCACTGTCTGCCTTGTTGATTGTGAAATGATGAACAGATAAATAAGCTTGAGACGCCTACTTCGAAAGACGTGAAGCATATTGATAGGAAGCTTAAATCGTGTTTGGATCCAACTTCACACGACAAGTACGTACTTTATATATGTTTTGTTTCTGTATGTTTTAGGTGTATATTATGTTTTGTCAACAGCTGTGTGTGGGTGTGCTGCAGGAGTAAAAAGCGAAAGCACAGATCGAAGGATGGGTCAGCAGGTGAAATGCAAGACATGTGTTGATGGTTGATTATCTAGACATGAAGAAGAAGAAGAAGTATGGCAGCGCTAACTGGTATAACTTATGCTTACTTGAGTTGAGTTGAGGTCCTGGTTTGTCTAGGTTAGGTTCAAGCCATTGATGAGGGCTGTTGAAGCTCATAGTTGTTTAAGTATACACAAAATACTGCAAGTCATGTCATGTTAGATGATGATGCATTCAAAAGTATATACGCTCGAGCATAAGCTGGGCCCATGCTACAATTTTCACATCTATCTGCTTAATATTGGTTTTCTTCTTTTATTTATTTATTTTTTATTTATATTTTTTAATAACATTTTCAGTATGTACTGGTTTTTTTTTTTTTTAAGAGAATTTACTGCTTGTTTATAAAATATTTAAAAATATATATATATAGTTATTTTAATAGTATTTTTACATTTTCAGTATTTAATAATAGAAATTTCAAATTCATTATGTGTGATTGTGTGTTTTTTATTTTGGATATTTGAATTGTAAAAAATGTAAATTTTAATAGATGTCTGATATAAATATATATTTATATGATATTGTGAATGGAAAATTAAATTTTAGTATAATATTAAAAATAAATAAATAAAAGTACCAATTTGATATTCTTAAAGAAAAAAATTTTAAATAGTAAACTTTGTAAAAAATGCACAAAAGAACACATTTTGGGTGTCAACTGGAAAGATTTTATTTTGATTTTGGATTTAAATAATATTTTATATAAAATATTATTATTATTATTATTATTACTTTTTGGAAATATAGAATTCAAATACTGAAATTTGGGGCGAAGAAGCCCAAGATTAAAAATTTGAGTTTTTATAGGATTTAATTTGATTTTAGATTTTTGTGGAATTTTTAGAATTTAATTTGAGTTTGGTAGATTTTACTAATTGATTTAGGATGAATTTTCATGGATTTGATTGAATAATTTATAGATTTATATGAATTTGAAATGACTGTAGAATATTTTTTTGAATGATTTATATAATTTTATAAATTTATATAAATTTGTAGATTAAAAAATAAAAATAAATTCAAATTATTATATAAAAATACAGAAAAAAATTACACCTTTTTAGTTTAAGCATTGAGTTTTGGGTATTGTGTAAAAGTAATTAAAAAATATATTAGTAAAAATAATTATAATTTAATAAAAATAATATAGATTAAAATTAAAATGATTAAATACTTTAATTAAAATAAAAATTATAAATTACGAATTTTAAAGATTAAACTGTACAATTATATTTTTTTTAAAAAAAGATAAATTATGTGAAACCGACGAAAATAAAAATAGTGGACAAATTAAGTGAACAAATGTAGTATTAATTTAAAAAGTATATTATTATTCATTGTTGTTGCTGTTATTATTATTATTATTATTATTAGGTAAAATTACTCATAACTTCCACGTAGTTTTAAAATTCAACGTAAAATTTCTTTATACTTTAAAAATTGTATGACAGCCCTTTATACTTTTAAAAAACGTTGCATGAAACTCCACTACCATCAAACCTTCGTTGTGTGATTAGAAGATAATTTTATATATATATATATATATGTTTTCTATGACAGAAGTTTTATGCAATATTTTTTAAAGTAATCATCAATTTTTTAAAGTAAAATGAAGATTTACGTTAAGTTTCGAAACCACATAGGGGTTTTATGCAATATTTTTTAAAGTATAAGGGGGCGTTATGCAATTTTTTAAAGTAAAGGAAAAATTTATACTAAGTTTCAAAACCAAAGGGAGTTATGAGCAATTTTGCCTTATTATTATTATTTTTTTATCTTCATTCTCATTATTTTCATTTTTATTATACTACGGCCTCATTTCCTGCGTAGGCGTTAGCAATAGTCATTTTTCATGCATTAATTTATGTTATTTGTTATAATTTACTTTAAAAAAGAAATTCTTAATTTTCATCTTTCATGTGGAAATATTGAGAATGTCAATCTTCATATTTAATTGGAAATCCATTCGATAATATTTTTTAATAAATATATTTTTTATGATTATTAATAATGTAGAAATGTTGTAACATAATAACTTTTGTATAATAATATTTTTTATTTTATAATTTTTTTATTATTCAATATATCAATTTATTTTAATTTATACTCTGTTTGTCTAATTTCTATTGTTCTAAAACATATTTGTACGGTTTTTTTTAGATAATTATTTTTTTGTTATGAATGGGCAAATGTACCATTTATGGTAAGATAGAGATTAAAAATGACAAATGAATAAAGAATAACAAAGTAAAATTTGTATTTAAAAAGAAAAATAGGACAATAGTAGTTGGATGTCCCAAATAGGTAAATAGAATATTAGTTTATGGAAGAAGGGAGTATTTATTATTATTTATATAATTTTTTTACATATAAATAAAATCAAAATTAGAATTTATGATTTTTGAAAAAAATATTTGAAATTAGAAAAATAAAAAAGTAAGAATTTATAAAACTAAACAAATATAAATTAACGGTTCAACGAAAAAAATATAAATTTCTAGTCTACTTTCACCCGAATAACAACATACTGAATTCAATAATTGAAAATGGAGAACAATTGTAATACACATTTATTATAATAGAATAGTAATATTTTTTTAAATATTATATCTATAATATAAAAATACATTTTTGAAAAAATTGATAATAATTTGCTAGTATAATTATTATTTTTGTTAAAATAATATTATTTATCACTTATACATCAATATAATAATAATAATGATGATAATAATAATAATTTATTTTCAAGAATATATCAAAATCTCTATTTATCAAAAGAGATTTTATACAATACAAAATATTCATAACTTTTCATTAAAATTCAATAAAAATCCATAGATTTTAAAAGATTGTTGAATACATTAGGATTTTAAAAGACTTTTAATACACCAAAATTTTAAAATACATTATTTTTTTCTTACAAAATATTATATAATATCTTTGTCCGTAGGATCGAACCTTAACCCTCAAATGAGAGATGTCTCACCGCTTGATTTACAAAATTTTAACAAATATTTACCAAAGAATTAATAATAAAGTAGTACGTAAGTAAAAAAAAAATAGTAACAAATTAATTATTATTTGTTCAAATAAAAATAATAAAATTATAAATGGATCAAATTATTTACTTCACATAGATTATCCATAAATTTAGTAAACAATAAAAAAAATGGCATAATTATCCCAACAAAAGGAGTATTAAAATTCAAATCAAAATTTCACCATCAAACGAAAACTAAATAAACATGTAAATATTGTACACTTAACAAATAATAAAAAGTAGCAAAAGAAACTGGTGGAGCCTAAAATTTTGAATAATCCAAGACTTTTCGTCAATTTCGCCGGTGTGAGTTCCGAAAGTACTTCAAAGAATCTATTCGTCATTGGATTGGTAAGCAGCTTCAGTGATGAAGCCTACGTAGCTTCAAACTTAAACAACCGATTTTGATGGAGTCAAACTAAAATCTACTAAAACTCGAATAAACCTACTTGAAACCGGATAAAAGCATGTTGGAAACGTCAATTAGCAAGAAATTAACAAAAGACAACATGAATTAGAACACAATTGGATAATATCATATGATCTATGGATAAACTAATAAAAATATAAAGAGTTGTAGAAGAGATGTATGTTGTCGTGTGTGTTTTATGTTTTCTTATTAAATACTCCATCCGTCCCAAACATTGTGCAATATTTGCTTTTGACACGGGTTTTTAGGTGGGTAGTATTAAATAGGATAATTTAGAAATTAGGTGATGTGATAGACAGAGAGAAATATATATTTTATTTTTTTATTTGAATGGTGTGGGGGGATAAAGTGTGGGGTAGAGATTAAGTATAATTAATTATTTCCTATTTTGGAAATATTGCAAGGTGTTTGGGATATACCAAAAAGGAAATATTGCAGGGTGTTTGGGACGGAGGGAGTATAATTTAAGGATTTAAAATTGCAACCACCTTCTAGATAATAGGGAAATTGTTGTAGTTATTCTGGTAAACTCCCAAACTCCTCATTCAATTTCTCCAACTGCCAAACATGGGTTTAGACCATATCCTTCAAGCCTTTGGGAGCTAAGATTGGGTCTTAACTGATCAACCTCCATTGGGCTATGCTGTTGGGCGGTTCCACAGCTCCTTTGTTGCTGGGCAGCTCTGCAGATTTGAGGCTCCCTTGCTGTTGGGTGGCTCCACAACTCCCTTGTTGTTGGGCAGTCGGACTGGAGGTTCCATTGCTGCTAGGCGGCTCCACAGCTTCTTTGCTGCTGGACAGCTCCGCGGACTGGGGTTCTTTTGCTGCGGTTTTGTCTTTGAGTCTCCTTTATGTTCAGATTTTTTTGGACTCATATCCAACAATGCCCTCCTCAAAAGGGCTGAGCGCTCACTTCAATTGAGCCCATGTCCTTTTGCTCCGATCTGCTCGCTTGCATCAATTTTGGTCACTTTCATCGACAAGGGATCCTTCTCGGCCTTCACTTCTTGGACTTCATCTCCATCTCAAAACATCAAATATTTGATAGAGTGTCAATGACACACACTCGCATGTATGAATCCAGTTTCGTCCCAAAAGACCCAAATAGAAAAGCCTACTATCAATCACCACAAAATTTGACGGTATTTCCTTTGTCCCCACCTGCACATCTAAAGTGATCATACATGCCGGTTTATAAGAATTTCGTATAAAATCGGTAAGACGTACGGATGTATAAATCAAATTGTCACTAGTCTTCTTAAACTTCCGTAGGGTCCCAATTGGCAACACATTCACAGCGGCTCCACTGTCTACCAGAACTTGGTCAAGCAGATGGCCATTCATCGAGGCCCGAATGCGCAAAGGCTTAACATATTGGTTTTGGCTAGGCCCGAGTCTCTTAAATTCTATCATGGTCGTCACATCATTCCGTTTGACGATAGGCTCTTCGTCAATGACAACTCCCTCTAACTTTTGAAATTCTTCTGAAGTTTTGAATTCTTCTGTAGGCTCCTCCACTTGCTTCCTTTTTGGAAGAGGTTCCTCCATCTGTTTTTTTTTTTTTTTTTTTTGAAAAGGCTCCTCGCTCTCCTTTTGGAATCAGCTCCATAGCCTGCTTTCTTTTTGGAAGCGGTTTCACAACCTGTGATAATTCTTGATTTTGACATATTTTATAACTGTTGATGCCGATTTTCAACAATAAAAAGTAAAATCCGAAAATAGAGATTATCTTCGATTTTGATAAAATA